CACAGTATCAGTGCTTCTTGCTTGACGAATGATCCTAGATAACTCTCGATAGAAAGTGTCCCCAACATCAGACCTGCAGTCTGTTGAGGCATAAACTGATGCCACCGACAGACACCGGTTTTTATGTCAAGAGGCATTTAGCTCGATTGAGCTGGATAACCGAAAGGCGCAAAGACGACTATTCCCTGGGATCCAACCCAACAAACGCCCTCAGCTCTTGGGCTGAGTGCAGCTCCCACATCATATATTACACGAGTTATTGCTTCTGGATCACCACACTTGGGTCTTGTATGAGTGTTTCGGGTACGCAGCATACATTAATTTTAAGGAAATATAAGGTTTCAGCAAGCATTGCCTGTTTGCCAATTTGATATAGTTTACGGACGTTAATAGCTCCTATGCAGGAAGCATTTCCTGGATTCAGAAATTTGTTATTTGGTTCATTCCTAATAGGAAGCGGTGAGCAGGCCCTTTGGTCATATAACTGACAGTCAAATGCCCCGGAAACGTTTGTTTTTGTGGCGGAAATTGGCTGGGGAGGGAAATCGGTGAACACAACTGTGAGGGCAAGCGTTAGTTCTTGGTTGCCCATGCCGAAGAAAGGGAGTTGGTTGAGGTATCCTACCTTCAACCTTTGACTCAAAAGTCTGATCCACAGGGCAGTGGGATGATATAAGGTTTGTTCGGGGACCCTACCTTTAGCCTCTCACTCAAAAGTCTGACCTGCGAAGCAGCGGGCAGTAGGATTTCGCTTGAGAACGCTTCCTGGAGCCAATGGCTCAATAGTCTGACCTGCTCGGCTGCAGTGGGTCGGTCTAGCTCGAGGGTGCAGAGAGTGAGGCATCACTGTCTCACTCCTGATGCGGCTGTGCTCAGTAGGTGCCGTTTTGGTATCACCAAATTTCTTGGTTTTAAAAGTATTTCGACCGTGTTACCTAATGCGCCGGTGGCAACGGTCAAACGTTGGGGAATCGGGGTGTGCGGTTTTTAGGGCCAACCTTTTCTAACCCCTCTTTCCTCGCTAGTCGCCTGGGAGAGGCGCCTTACTGACTTCACACTCCTATCGCCGAGGACAGCACGATGTTACTTCCAGACTGCGTTCTAGTACGGGGTCTCACTTTTCTTGGTTTGACTACTCTCTCCTGGCATTGTTGAACCTTGTGGAACCAATGTTCAGTCAAAATAGTCGCCAACATCATTTCCTGACCACTATGTCAATGTGGCATCTTTAGTTTGGGTCCCGTGAATCGGTCCGTCAATGGCTAATGAGGCTGACACAAGTAACCCAGTCACGCAGTCATGCAACAAAGCTATCCATTTCCCAAACTGACTGAACATGCCATCGCCCCCAATGCTTAGCATTCTCCCACGGTCTCCCATTTTCGACTATCGAAACGTCATCAGCTAGAACCATTGTGCCCATGTTACATGATTTATGGCTGATAAGTTGGTCGAT